AAAAGGCCAAACGCTCCAACCGGCGCCTCAAGTCCCAAGTGCTGCTCAAGAAATACGTCATGAGGAGGCGCTGGAAGGTGCGGGGTCTGGCAAGGGCATGAGGGTCAGCAGCTTCTGAGGGGGCTGGGAGGGGCTGCCAGGCTCTGCCTGTCCTGGTGGATGGCATCTGGAGCATGGAGGAGGGAGGAGGGCTCTGTCTCGCTGTGCTGCTGGCAGCTGGGACACAGGGCTGGGGAGCCTTGAGCATGGATGCCCCTGAGGTAACACCCTCATCAAGCACAGGTCCCTTTGTGGTGGTTATTCCTGAGCTGAGTCCCAGGAGCAGGCTTTAGGGGCAGGAGTAGTGTCAGGCTCCAGGGCAGGGTCTGTCTCAATCTGTGGTGGCACAGCCCTTGCCAGAGGATGGGAATCTTTCCTCTTCCCTTTCACAGAAAAATTTCATCGGGGTGTGCGCTGCCAACCGCTTCAGGAAGATCACCAGCTCAGGGTCCCTGACAGCACTGGGCATCTGAGCTGGGCTCCCAGGGGAGCCGAGGCCAGAAAGGAACCACTTGAGAGGGACCCCCACCAGTCTGGAGCGGCTCTGTTGAGCTGGTCCCACTGCACTCAGGACCACATCACTGCTCAGTCTCAGACTGTGAGGCTGCTCCGGAGTGAAGGTTTCTGATCTCACCTCTGGCCCTGGCCTGGCTGCGTGATGCCTGACCTGCAGCATCTCTGCTCTGCTCACGCTTCCTTCTCGTGCCCTCGGAGGAGGAGCAAGGCCATTCCGGTGTGATCCCGCTGCCTCGGCCACCTGGCGCTTGCTGCTTTTGGACTCTGCCTGTAAATGCCGCAGCCCTGCCTGCCTTCACTGCCGCTGGCCCCTGCACTGCCCGACCTCCCTCCCCAGCTCTGTGGCTCGGCGATGATGCTGGAGGGCACCGCGGAGCCTCGCCCCGGTGCTTTGGCAGCGGAGCCGGGGCTCAAGCACCTCCTCCCGGCCAGCTGGGCATGTGGGAGCGGAGCTGGCCCCGAGCTGCTGCTCGCACAGGAAGGGAGGAAGCAGCAAGCACGCTTCCAGCGGCGTCCCCAGCTGGGAGCCAACGAGGAAAGAAGGAGGCTTTGTGTTCCTGCTGCCCTCCCTGCCCTTCGGTTCTGCCAGCGGGGGAAAAACACAACCTCTGCTTCACCCGTCCCCGGCAGATCGCGATGAGCGAGGCGGGCTAATGCAGAGCAGCTGGGCCGCGCTCCCCGCTCCGGCCGGCACCGCTCACCCGACCACCAACACAGCGGAACTGCTCCGCCGCCGCGGCCGCCAGCTCCCCGCCCCGTGCGGGGGCTCCGCGGGACCCGCTGGGACCGGGAGAGGGGAGAGGGTGCTGCTCCAGCTCCCGAGCCTTGTCCCGAGCCCCGTCCTCTCTGCCTGCACCCCTCGGGCCTCCCCGGTGCTGCCAGAGGATGGGCAGCCCCCGGGATTTGCAGCATCCAGAGGATGGGCATCCCCTGGGATTTGCAGAATCCAGCCTTGCCCACTGCAGGAGGGGATGGGGTCCCCAGCTTTGGCTTTTGCCATGGCTAAGGCCCCCCAAGCCAAGGCTGTGTGTTTGCTCTGGAGCTGCCTCTGCCCTCTGTGCCTGCTGGAAAAACATTGGGGAGAAACACGGGGAGACATTGCTGCTCACCCCACGCTGGCTGCAGCAGGGGAAGGGGCTTCAGGCTTGTCCCCACCGGGCAGGAGCCACGGCTGGTGGGACCCTGCCCCATAACAGAGCCCTCCATAGCGCTCGCCTTCTTGTAAATAAATGTACAGGTCTGCCCAGAGCCCACAGCTGCCATCTGGGGGCTGGGGAGGCCCTGCTCCCACCTGTGGGCCCTGACAGTCGCAGGATAAGTGAGATGAGGATGGGAAGCAGAATCTCATCTCTGTGTAGAGGGGATGGGGCCAGGCTCTGCCGTGCACAGGCACCACCTGGTACGTCCTGGGCAGGGCTGTGCAGGTACAGTGCCAAGGGTTTCTGGTCTACACACCCAACAGCTCTGAGCAGCCCAGGGGGATGGGGGAAGGGAAAGTGACTGGATGGATGGGTGGATGGATCAGCTGTCAGTCAGACATGTCCTCACATCTTCAGCATCTGCCCGTATTGGGTGGGATGCCCGGGCAAGGGCAGGTGGGAACTGGTGCCCCTTTGCCCAGGGGAGCTGTGGCTGGCCCTGAAGTGGTTAAAGCTGCCAGAGCCCGGACTCCGGCGGCCGCAGGCGTCCCTCCCAGCCGCTTCCTGCCGGCAGCCTTTGACCGGTTCCTGTCGGTGACCACCCCGCAGGCCTGGACGCCAGCGCAGCCCCATCTGGTTTGAGTTACGCTCCACGGCGGTGACGTCTCCTTCCTGCCTGGCCCCAGGAGCCGCGCGTCTCCCCGGTCCCGGCCCTGGCCCCGGCCGGCCACAGGGACTGCAGGGCCCTGCTGCGGGGTGGCCACGGGGCTTCCAGATGGACCACCAGCCCCGGACACTGCTGGCACCCTGAGCTGCTGTAGGGGATCAGCTCCTGAGCACAGCCCTGTGTGTGCAGGTCTGCAGCAGAGGGATGCACAGACACCAGCACATCCCAGGGTGTGGGACCCCTACCCCACAGCCCAGTTTGGTTTCTCTAGTCCTCTCCTTCCTACCCTGGGACCCTACTGAGACACACTGGGCCTGGATGAGTGGGGCTGACACCCATGGATGTAGCTGTGATCCCATCCTGTGTTCCCAGCTGACAGAGCTCATGAGCCCCTGAAGCTGCCTGGAGTGAACAGGTCCCGCTGGGACCAAATGCTCCTGGTCCAGCCCAGGCCACCACAGCCAGGTCCATCCCTTATGTGTGGGGTCCTCATCACCCCCAGGGGTGCAGGCTGCAGTCTGGATGTGCACACACGTGTGTCCTCAGCATCCATCCCTGGAGCATGGAGCACACACATTCCCAGGCACCCTGTCCCTGTGGCACCCACCCAGCCTGCAGAAACAAGAAACACTCCCGCAGGCAGTGCAGGGAGGGCAGGGGAGCGGGCAGAGCCCTGGCAGCACCGCCGGCAGCGGCAGCAGGTTCGCCCCGTGACCGGGTGCGGCGAGCCCCGGCCGCGGCACGGCCCAGGATGGGAGCGGGAGAGCGGGCGGGGAATCGGGGCCACCCACAGCGGACCGGGAGCGAGCCAGGGAGGAGCAGAGCTGGGAGAACAGCGGGTCCGTGACCGGCAGTCGGGGTGAGGGCGGGAAAGGGGAGCACTGGGAGAGCGCACGGCTCTGATCTGCAGGACACGAGTGCCCATCCCCAGCGGCTGCTGCAGCCTGGGGGACAGCGGGATGCGCCGCATTCCTCCCAGCACAGGGAGCCCGTCACGGGCACAGCGTGGGGCCGGGGCCGTGTGTTCCCAGCCGCGGCGGGCGATGGGCCCGGCCACGCTGCGTGGGAACCAGACGGCCCCTGGGCACGGCTGCGGCGCTCGCTTCCTCCCGCGCCCCCGGGGACCGTGCGAAGGAGGGGGCTGAGGTCAGCCGCGCTCGCCGCCCGCCGCTCCGGAGACGCCAGCATGATGTAGGCTCTCAAATATTGTTTTCCACTGGGTAGGGGAAAAAAAAGGGAGTAAAGAGAGGCCCAGGGCTGAGTGGCGGTCCCCGATGATGAAGGGCGGCCCCCCTGCCCTGCCCGGGGCTGGGACACAGCCATGGCCCAGCAGCAGCCGTCTGGGGGCTGATAAGAGCTGACGTGGCCGCGGTGCTCCCGGTCCCCGAGTGACGGCAGTGTTCCTCCGTGCCAGCACGGCCCCCCAGAGACCCCCGAGACTGGCCAAACTGGAGTCCCCCTGGCCTTGGGCAGCTGGGGGGACTTTGACACAAATTTGGTCCTCACATCAGCACAGAGAGCCCCTGCCAGCCCTGTGTCTATCCTGGGGCTGGCTGTGCCTTCGGGTCTGGGTATTGCTGCTCCTGGGGAGCTCCCTCTACCAGCCTGGAGTTGGCAGGTTGGGGGGCGCAAGCACAGCCCCCCACTTTGCCAGCATCACTCTGGCCCCTCTCCTGTGCTCAGAGGTGCTGACTCGGCTGTCCCAGTGCAGTGTGGGAAGGGGCTGGTGGCCAGGTCCCATCCTGGGGCTGTGTGGGGACCCTGCCCACTCCAGTGTCCCCCATTTGGACCAGTTGGGGCACATCCCTGTGCCCAGCCCAGTGTGAACAGCGGTGACTCAGCTGGTGCCTCTTCACTGGCAGCCACCCTGCATGATTCAGGTCAGAGGAATCCACTTTCCTGGCTGTTCCCATCAGAGCTGCAGCCCCTGGCACAGCCCATCTTTGGGGCTGCCCTGGTCTCAGGGTCTGCAGGGACTGGTTGGAATTCCAACTAAGCACTGACACAGCCACAAGCAAGGACAGAGAGGGGAGGGAGCCCTGTCCCCCCCATAGCAGAGCCTCCACGCTGTGCCACAACCCCTGGTGTCTCCCCACAGTCTCTCTGGGGTCCATTTGCAGGGCCACACACTGAGGCTTGGGCCACTTGTGCCGCCTGTGACATCCTGTGAAAAACCAGGAAGTTGGAGGGGTCCCAGGCCCAGGGAGGTGACAGTGGGGCTCCACTGGGGGATAACTTCAGCTGCAGCTCATCCCCCTGACCCCCAGGGACAAAGTTCCCTTGTACTGCCATGGGATGGCACTTCAGGGGCTCCTGGCCCTACACTGTGGCAGGACCTTGTCCCCAGCATCTCCCTGGGACACAGGACCTGGGTGTAGGTGCCTCAACCAAGGCCATGCCCTGTCCCAACATGGCCTCACCATCCAGTCAGTGATCACTGACGGAGGCACTGGTGGGGATGGAGGCTGTGCCAGGTGGCCTTGGGCACCTGTGTCCCCCAGCCAGCACCTGAGCTGGGGCTGAGGGTCCCCAGCTTGCTCCTGCCCACTGCCCACCTCGAATGGGGCACAGACACCACAGAGGCAGCATTGGGGAATGTGCTTTATTAGGAGCTGGGTTGTCCCGGGGTGGGGAGTCCCTCACTCGAAGAAGAACATGCCGGGAGTGCGGTAGAGGCAGGGGGGCAGCCCCAGGGGGTAGCCATTACCCCCCTGCAGTGGGATCGTGGTGCCTGGGCCCCACGGCTCCTTCTGCTCACCTGCCCGTGGCCCCATGGCCCCGAAGGGTGGCTGCCGGGGGGCGGTGGAGGCCGGGGGCGCTGCGGCCAGCAGATGCTCCAGCGCCGCGCCGCAGGGCCGCTCCTTCACGCAGAAGCTCAGCGCCTGCACCCGGCACTGGTAGCTGCTGCCCAGCGCCTCGGGGCCCGGCCGGCTGAAGGAGCCGAACACGGGCAGGTGGGGCTGCGTGTAGCCCTCTCCCTCCAGGAAGCAGGATGGAGGGGGCTTGCCCGTGCCCAGGAGGTTGCCAGGGAACGCAGGTGGCACCTGCCCGAACGGCTGGCACGGCCCCAACCCGGGGGCAGCCAGCTCCTTGCCCTCCAGCTGCTCTGGGGGGGTGTCTGGGGTGGCCGGCGAGTCCTGCGGGGGGTCCCTGTGCTGGGTGGGCAGCAGGGCGGGCAGCAGGGCAGGGTGCTGCTGCTGGGCCGGGCGCTCACCGGGCAATGGGTACTGACCTGGCCGGGGCAGCTGCAGCGCCGCCGGCAGCCCCCCGAAGACAGTCTCCTTGGGCGGGCGGCTCTCGGCGGCCGTGAGGAACGGCCCCTTGGGCTGTGCCACCTCCGGCAGGTACAGGCAGGGCTGCCTGGCCTTGGGCGGCTGACGGCGGGCCCAGGGCTCGGCGCACCCCGGCACCCCGGCACCCTCAGGGAGAGCGGCGGGGCTCGGCAGGCGTCCTGTGGCCGACCGCGAGCTGTAGGCCCCCTCTGCCTTCCCTTCCTCCGGCAGCGGGGCAGCGGGCAGCCCTTGCCCAGGCTGCCTGAGGGTCTTCCCACGCCCCTCGTCCCCCTCAGTGCCTGGCGCATCCCGGAGACCCTTCTTCCTGGTGAAGCGCCGGCGGCGCCGCAGGAAGCTGCCGTTCTCAAACATGTTGTAGCAGTCGGGGTCGAGGGTCCAGTAGTTGCCCTTTCCCGGCTTCTTGTCGTCACGGGGCACCTTGACGAAGCACTCGTTGAGGGAGAGGTTGTGGCGGATGCTGTTCTGCCAGCCCTGCTTGTTCTCGCGGTAGAAGGTGAAGCGGCCCATGATGTAGCGGTAGATGCCGCTGAGGGTGATGCGCTGCTCGGGCGCGCTCTGGATGGCCATGGTGATGAGGGCGATGTAGCTGTAGGGTGGCTTGGTGGCTTCAGCGCTGGGGAAGGCGCCGCCGGCCGGCTCAGGGGCCGGGGGGCTGCGCAGCGCCGCGTCGCCGACGGGGAGGTCCGGCTGCATCCTCCCTGCCCGCCGCCGCCTCTCCGGCTCCGCCGCTGATCCCGCTCGGCTCTGCCGCACGGCCCCGGCACGGCCCGTTAAAACCCGCCGGCCGGCGAGGGGGCGGCGGGCCCCTCCTCTGAGGGGCCGCCCAGGGCGGAGCAGGACTCTGCCGTCCAGCACTGGTCCCTGCGGACAGACAGACGGATGCGCCGCCAAGACCTGCGGCCAGCAGCCAGTGGCCCCGCGGTTGGCACGGCCGCGGCCTCCCCAGGGCAGAGGCGGGCACAGCCCCCGGCTCCCCCGGCCCCCTTTCCCACGGAAGGTTCCCACGACCTGGTTCTCATCCTGCCCTGCTCACGGTGAGCAGCCGGCTCTGGCTGGGCCGGGAGTGAGGGATGTTGGCAGGACTGAGGTGCTGCCTGCCCTCAGATGCCCCTCTGCCCCTGCCCACCCCAGTGCCTCAGCCCCTGTCCCCAGCCTAGCCTTGTGTGGGATCCTGTGCCAGGTCTCTCCGTTGTGCCAGGTCCCTGCATTGTTCCCAAAGCTCTGGGCACAGCACAGGCCCCAGGAGCCCCATCACACCGTTCATGAGTGTAAACTGAGACACAGGTGGTGACTGTCTTTGGGACAGCCTTCTGTGTTGCCAGGTCAGCAGAGCAGCTGAAAGGCACTTTGCTGCTGCCTTCACCCCTGCCAAGGGGCTGGGACAAGGGGCAGGACTGGAACCAGTGCTGGGGCAAGGGGTTGTCTCAGTCTGTGGCTGAGCTGGCTTTGCCCACCTGAGGCTGTCTGGACTCAGCTTCCCCAGCCGCTCGTGCTCTGCTTGGATCAGCACCCCCACCCCAGAGCCAGCCCCCAATACCCATAAGAAAACACAACCTTTATTTCTAAGGTTTGCAACAGCGAGTCCTGGCAGCGCAAGGTGCAAGGACAGAGCCAGGTCTGCCCTGGCTTGCTGAATAGGCACACAACAAACCCCACCTGAGAGACTCCTGGGGAATAAATACAGCAATCACAGGGGCAGCAGCACCTGCCCACCCAGCTAACGTCTGTCCTTGTCTGGTCCCACACATTGAGCACCCTGAGCACTCTGCTTTGGGACACGCAGCTGGAATGGAGCCATGGGGCTCAGAGCCTCCCTCTCTGAGACTTTATGGCAACTGGGCTCTCCTCTCCCACCCAGTTCAGGGCTGGCAGAGCTGTTTGAGGACATGGAGAACGTGGCTGGAGGTGCCAGGGGCACAGGGCTGGGGAGAATTGCAGAGCAGGGTTGGCCTCAAGCGCTGGGCGTGATGGAAGAGCTCTCGAGCGAACACCGGCTCCACCTGTGGAGGCACAGAACGACAGAGGATGGGCACAGGTCTGTGTCCCTGCCTTGCAATGGTCCCTGTGCCTGGCTCAGGGGTCACCAGCCCCAGTGGGAACTCACGTGAGCCATGATGAGCTTCTGGAAGGGGTGCCCAGCTCTGGTGGGGTATTCCTCCCCGAAGCACAGGTAGATCTGGTACTGAGGCAGAAGCTGCCCATTGCTCAGGTACTCCCGCACCTCTGCAAGACACCAACCCTGTCAGGGGACACGGGGTCCTCACAGCCCCCATCAGCCACAGCAGGGCAGGACCTGCCCCTCTCCCCAGGGCATCGGGGTGTCCCAGGGACTTACGCTGGATGTACTGCTGCGTGTCCAGCAGCTTGTAAGTCCTCTCCCTCTCCAGCTTGTTGGGCCAGTTCTTGTGCGGGGCCAGGGGCCCGTTCCAGTACACCCTGCCCTGGCACTGGCGCTTCATGAAGACCCCCTCAGGTGCCACCCACAGCAGCACCCCGCGCTCCAGGTGGGGCAAGAGCCTCTCCAGCACGTTGGTCATGCAGGCCACACGGCCGTGGCCGCTGAGCACCTGCGGTGGGGGGAACTGGATCTGCTCCATGCAGGAGGGGCCGTAGAGGCGCTCGCTGTCGGCCGGCACGGCGCTGGTGGTGATGCGGCAGCCCTCGGCCGTGCGCGTGGTCACCTCCTTCACCAGCACATCGCAGTAGTACAGGCGGATGTGCAGCCAGCAGTCTGGGGCAAAGGGAGGGTCACTGCATGGGCAATCTGGGCTGGTGGGGCCACCCAGGGCATTGCCTGCAGCATGGCTCCTACCTGAATTGTTGACATCCTCCACAGGGAGGTAGGACTGGGGTCCGGGAAGAAGCTGGCCATGGGTTGGGCTCCAGCCATAGAAGACTCCCCTCACAAGGCACCCTGGACCAGGTGGTAAAAGGACATGGACAGTTACCCCAAGGGCTCCCAGGCACTCTCCTGGCCCAAGCCCCTGGGCCCACACTTTCACTGTGTTTGCTCATTATTGGGCCTCATCATATCCCCTAAGGGAATGGCTTTGATGGGGTAGGGTGGGAGCCCTCAGCCCCTACCTCAATCCCCACAGGTGTTCCCTGCATGAGCAACAGGACAGCAGGATCCTGGCAGAAGTGAGCACTCCCTGCCCCCAGCCCCATCCCACCAAGAGGGACCCTCCTCACCTCGCTCGGTGGGGTGGCCAGAGAGCCAGGGCTGTGGAGAGACATGGGCACGCTCCAGCATGTCCTTCTGGCTTTCCTCCTTCTTCGGACTCCCTGCAGTGCTGCCCTGGGGGTAGGAGCAGCTTTGGTGAGGGCTGAGCTGGCAGTGGGGGATCCTGAGGCAGCTCCTTCCTCTACCATGGACCCCATAAGCCAGCAGATCCCCTGCCTGGGTCTGGCAGTGAGGGGCACAGGGGGCCCTCTCTGAAGCCCCGTGGGACAAATGCAGGCAGTGTGCAAGCGGGGGAGCAGCTGATGGGTGAGGGGGGGATTTGAGGGTCCCACCTTCTCCCCTGCCTGGATGGCACAGGGCAGGCTCACCTGCTGGTCCTCACTGCCTGGGGACTGTGTGTCACTGTCCTCTGCAGAGAGTAAGAAAGAATGGGTGAACCCCTGGCAAACGGCAGGAACAGCCCCAGGGAAGACAGCTGGCTGTCAAAGGAGTGGGGAGGAAGGGTAATGTCTGTGGGGCACGGGGCTTGTGCAGGCATGGTTCAGGTATGTTCAGGTATCAACCCCACAACAGGCACAGGACGAGGGACGGCAGGGACGTACCTGCATCACAGGCTCTGTCAGTCACGATCTGGTACACCTTGTAAGGCTCGGAGATGTCCAGCTGGCTCCGCTCGGGCACCTCCTGGAAGTCGGTGCTCTTGTTGAGGGCGCAGCGCAGCCGCGTCTTCCAGGTGGAGGGGTCGGCCTTGTCCGTCCCTTCGTGGTACTTCCCCTTGTAGATGGCCCAAGCCTGAGGGGCAGAGGGACAGAGGGTGCCCTGTGCTGTGGGGGGTGCCACAACCTGACCCACGGCTCGGCTGTCCAAGGGGGTCCACCGGGGTGGGGGAGCCGGGGCCGTGTGTCCTGGGGGACTGCGGGGAGCTGGGTGCTGCGGGGTGCCGGGGGAGCACACCGGCAGCGCCGGGAGCGTGCACGGAGCTGGGCGGTGTGTGCCAGGGCTGTGCATGGAGCCACATCCCAGCGCTGCGCACAGAGCCAGGTAATGGAGAGCCCTGGAGGTGCACATGGAGCTCGGCTGCACAGGTGAGCAGGGTGAGCGGTGCCAGGGTGCGCACGGAGCTGGGCACCGGGGAGCCCTGGGCAATGGGGAGCCCCGGGAGCGCACACGGAGCCCGGGGGCCATTCCCAGGGCCGGGTGGGGACCGCGGGGAGCCCGGGGTACCTTGAAGAGCGCAGCATCCTCCTGCTGCCGGTAGTCCTGCTTGGCCGCGTGCTTCCAGGGGATGCGGAAGAGCGTTTTCTGCCGGTTCTCCCAGCGCAGCCCCGGGTACCGGCCGCTGTCGATCTGCGCGATCAGCCACTCCTTCAGCCGCATGGGCGCCCCCGGCTCCGCCATCGCGGCCCGGCGGCGAAACCGAAAGCGGCTCCGGCTTTCACTTTCCCTTTCCTGGCGCACGCCTCAGGTTCTGCTTGCCCCAAGGACGGGGGGGACGGTTCTTAAATTTTTTTTTTCTCTGCTCCACTTTTCCCCGCGCAGCAGCGTCAGATATCCGCGTTCAGGAACAAGGGATGTCGTAATTGACGGTTACAGCAATGGGAAGAGCTGGGGCTGGTGCCTCCGGGAGGGACCCCCAAAAAAGGCATCCCCGAGGTTTCAGATCCTCACAATGTGTGTACCCACATACACCAGTGGTGATTTTAGCCTCTTCCCGTTGTTCACTGGCTCCTGCAGAGGCTCTGGGTGGTTGACCCCCACCCCGGGAAGTGCCCTTTGTTAGGCAAAGGGTGGGCGCCCATTCCCGGCTCTTGCCTGGGGCTTCAGCCTCTTCCTGCCGTTCAGAACACAATGTGCAGCTCGCACTGGTAATTTACATACCGAGATACCTGCCCTAGGTGTATGTCTTAACACACCCACCCTGCACTCGCGGGCGGGGGGGCAGGGACATTGCATCCACGGGAGAGGGGATAAGGCACCAGAAGGCACACGGAACTCTCCTGCAGCCCTCCCAGATGCTTCCCCTAAAACTGTCAGGTCTCCCACACGCTCCCCGAAGGGGACAAGGGACCCTACTCCCTTTGCTTCCTGCGTTGGGGACCCAGCCGGACACATCCCAGCTCCAGGGGCTACGTCCTCCCATGAGCCCAGCTGCTCACTCCATGCGTGTGGGGAGCTGCAGGGAGCTGCGGGAAGAGCACGGGGTTTCCAGGGTGGTGTGAACAGTCACATGTCCCCATCTCTCAAATCTCTCCTCTGCTCTAGTGCTCACGTCTGCCTCGTGGGGCTCTGAATGCTCAGTCGAACGGGAAACGGGTGGGAAGGGTGGTTGAGCTGTGCCAAGCGCTGCCGGGACCGGGGTGGGACACATCCTGCACCAGCTCCCATTGGCCCCCAGCAGGGCACGGGCTGAATCACTGAGCCACCCTGAGGTGACATTGGTGTTGGTTCCCCTATCACTGCTGCAGAGTTTCATGTTGCTGTGCAGGGAAACCCTGCTCTTCTGCCTGGCTGCTGCCCCCCAAGTCTCCTTTTGCAGTCACCCAGGTCTCCATTCCTGCTCTGAGTCAGAAAAAGTCACCTCCGGCCGAAAGGAGGAGCGAAGTTCCTGAGAGCTACTGGGGCTGCAAAGTCTCCAAATGAATAATCAGTGGCAGAGAGCCCAGTCCTGGGCTTTCCCAGAGGATGTGAGGACAGGGCACAGCCACGTGGCACAGAGGGCACATGGGGCCACATGGGGTGTGCGAGCGAGCCCCACTGGCAGGGTTTTCTCTCCTTATTGAGCCTGCCCGCGACCCCTTTGTTGCAAAGTGAAGCCCAGGCACCACCTGTGCCCTCCCTCCGGGCGAGCTGTGGGGCCACGGTCTGGGAAAAGGGCCTGGGAACTGAAGGACAGAGAATCCACATCTGCCCCTTCTGCCTTGGGAAGCTGTGCTGCGGCAAGGAGTCACTCACGGCCTCCCAGTGGCTTCACTGATTACATCCAAGGCCGGCAGATAATCGCAGCCGCCGGCTCGTTTGTCAGCCCGGCCCGCCGGGATCAGTTTTATCGGCCGGGGATTTCATGCGCTGTGGCAGCCGCCCGCTGACGCAGGACCCGGGGGATCCAATTACCCGGGCATCAGCGAGGACGCTCAGCAGCCACATTCCCCACTGTATTCCTCACCCGGCTTCTCCCTTCCCGGGGAAGGTGAAGCTGCTTAACCCTTAAACTTTTCATGCCAAAATGAGCTTCAAGAGGCAGTCAAACATTAACTCGTAGCTAACCCTGCCCTTGCCCGGGTTTTTCCAAGCTGTGTAAGCCAGATCTGCCAAAATAAATACATTCTGCTGTGCTGTGGAGCTGAGCTGGAGAGCTCTGGGTGATTTACAGTGGGAACAGGGGAATCTTTGCAAACACCTTGGCATAAGGTGTCCCAGTGTGAGAGGGTGCAGCTGTGCATGGGGCATACATCCATCCCAGATGGGTGATCCTGGGCTGCGGGGCTTCCACCCTGCTGGGTGCTGAGGAGGCCAAAGGGTGCTGGAGAGCCTGGCCTGGGGCCAAGGGAGGGTAGAGGAACCTGGAAGGAACTGGAAGGAGAGTGGGATCCCATGGCAGATGGTGCAGGAGCAGTGAGGGATGATGAATCCCTGGTTATTCAGTTCACTCCGTATCCACCCAGAGAGGGTGAACTCCCAGTCTGCCTGGGTCACCCCAAGGCAGCACCCAGCCCAGCAGGCAGATGCTGGCAGCAGGAAGGAACCTTGAAGCTCTGTCTCCTGGGGGATCCCTTCTCCCTAGAAGAAGAGGGGCAGGGATGAGGGAGACCCCAGAAACATGCTGTGAGTCCCAACAGGGACAATGCTGATGACCCAGCTGGGCATCCTCCGAATTTTTTCCCACCTGGGACTCTGCTCCAGGAAAAGGTGTAAATGGGACAGGTCTGGGGCCTGTGATACTCAGCTGGTGCCAGGCTCCCAGTACTCCCAGCAGCTGGAGGAGCCTGCAGAGTCCTGGACCTCGTGCTCCTGGATCACGTGAGTGGAGAGGCTAAAGTGAAACAGGCTCCAGGTGAGCTCCCACCTGCTGCTCCCAACCTCTCCTGGAGCAGAGCTTGTCTCCTGAGAGCCCTGCACCCTGGCACTCACATTTCTGGCTTCCCTTGTCACCTTCTCACAAGGCAGCAGGGTGAGCCCTGTCCCAGCATGCCAGTGTCCCCAGTCCACTTCAGAGAGTGTCCAGCAGCAGCTCCAGACTGGTCCCATGCTGGGACCTTCCCCCTTGGCATCCCCGTTTCAACCTGGCCATCACAGGAGAGTCAGACCACAGAGAAGGGTATTTATTACTGGGGAACATATAAAGTCTTTAAGCAAAATGGCTTAAGGCTCTGCTCTAGTGAGGTCTGGCCAGGTTAAATGCTTGGCTCCCACCTGTTACAGATTGTGCCCTGGGATAGGTGGGAATGGGGTGCAATGGATTCCTAAAGCTACAGTGCTTGCTCAGGGCTTGTGCTTGGCCAGTCTGGAGCTGGACCCTTGCCTGGAAGCCTGTGTGGTGGCATTACCTGCTGGCACACTGGTGTGTCCCTGCTCTGCAGCCACCTGGATGCTGGGAGCTTGTGCTGCTGGTGGGAAAACTGCTCTGAGGGGAGCACCGGCTCTCCTGTGCACCCTGAGGCCATGCAGTGGGTACCCAAGTGCTAAAGCTGTTGCTGGCAACACCTGGGCACCGGCCTGTGGCAGAAGAGACCCCCTCTGTGTTCTGCCCCAAGCAGGAGCCTGCAGTGACCCAGGGACAAGGATCTGTGTCCCCAGCACACTGGATGTGAAGATGAGCCCAGCATGTGCTGCAAAGCCCAACAGCGTCCATAAAACCTGCCCAGAGAGAGGGTGGCACATTCCCACCCCAGAAGAGAAGAAGGAGCTGGGCTTTGTGCAGGTTCCTGCCCAGTGCTCTCTGTCCCACTGTGTTGCATCTCCTTCATCTCTCCCAGGCTGTTGGGTGATGCTCACTGCCCTCCCCTGGCTTGGGTCACTTCAGACAAGCCGGGATGCAGGAGAACGTCCTCTTCACCCGCAGCAGGAAGGGGCTTGTGCTCCTCATGTCTCTGGCTCTTGGGACCAGTCCTTGCACAGCTCCCTCTGTCCTGGACGTTCCTTCTCTCCCTACTGGCAACAAGGCCTTTATTTCTTCCTCATCATTGAAAGGGGACATCCCATACTTCTGCTTCAGGTGCCTGCGGACCTGGGGAAGGAGCGAGAAGTAAAATTTAGTGCTGGTTTACAAGGGCAGGTCCAAGCCTGCCAGCAAGGGGAGCAGGGAAGAAACCAAGTCCCCTCAGGACTTGTCCTTGCTCTGAGGCCCATGGCAGGCTCAGCCATGGAGCAGGGCACGGGTGGCAGAGGCGGCTCCCACCTTGCGGGCTGCGCTGCCGCTGAACTCAGCCAGCTGCTGCCTGAAGCCGGGGTTGGGGTTGGCCACAGGCCGGATGGTTCGGATGGCATCCAGCACCTCCTGGCAGCTCAGCTCCGTCACAACCATCACGTAGGCAACCACCACGGTGGTGCTGCGGGAGATGCCAGCCAGGCTGGCAAGGGAAAGTGCAGAAGAGCTGGTGTTAGTGGCACACCCTGACCCCATGCTTGCCTCTTCCTCCACCCCTGTGCCTCAGATATTTCAGTTCTTCTTCTCCAAGGATTTGCTCTCCCGGAGGCCTGAGACCTTCCAAGGTCCTGGCCATCAGTGCCTATAAATACCCACTCCTCTACAGGGAATGGGAGCAGCAGCCACTGCCTGGCTGCCTGCCCCAAACCCTGCTCATCCCATGCACTCAGCTGCAGCAAAAAGCTGCCCCGGCTCCAGGACTTGCCTGGATCCTGCTGGGTTTGAGTCACAAGCCACAGCCAAGGGTGGATCCTGGGTGGGTCCACTGGCACAGAGCCCTCTGGCATAGGCTGGCTCTGATCTGAAGTGAGGGGCTGGGGACTGTATCTGCTGAGCTGGGGGGACACAGCAGCAGGCACAGGGGAAGCATTACCAGTGGACGAGGCAGTTCCCTCCATGCAGGCGACACTGATGGATAAAACTGATGCATTCCTTGAAGTGCCTCTTGCTAGCAGGAAAAATAAACCAGACAGAATGAGAACGTCAGGGGTGGAACAGCATTTTTAGCTGCAGGCAGAACAGCCCTGTATGTTTGAGTTGTTTTAGGGGATCTGCCAGCCACTGCTGAGACCTGAACAGCTCAGTGCTGTTTATTCCCAAGGAAAGGTAGATTTGCCAGCTCATTCTGTGCTGGGGACACAGAAGGGGACACTGTGCTGGGGATGCACGGGGCTGCCCTGTGACTTGTGTGACTCATGCTGGGGCAATGGGACGCCTGGCTGCTTGAATCTCCAGCCACGCCTGTGCCCTTGGCTGGCTCCATACCCTTTATGTGCTCTCCCCTCTCCAGACACTTCCTGGGGGGATGCTTGCTGCCCCTCTCCATGGGTGCTGTGGAGTGGCTGCCCCTCACCTCACCCCAGGGCTCACACCCTCACAGCAGTCACTGAACTGGGATGCTGTTGGGGTCCAGGGATGCTCCCCTGCCCTGTGGCATCACATCTCCAGCCTGTGGGTTGTTGTGCTTGAGGAGCTGGAGGGAGCTGGAGCACATGGAGGGTTTGAGAAGCTGTGAGTCCTCACCTCTGGTCACCCTCCCACCTCCCTGCATGTCCCCACTGTGCCCAGGGTACTCACATGTTGGCTTCAGGGGTGTCAGGCAGGGGGATGCGGAGGTAGGTAATGTCCTGGAAGCCAGAATAGGAAGAGGAGAGGCTCAGGCACTGCAGCCAGGGTGTCATACATGGTCAGAGCAGGGCTGGCAGCGCCTTTGCTCCTCACCCACAGCGTCCTACAGGGTTCTGCTTTCCCCACTCAGCACCCCCCTGCATGGGGATGGGGCCACACTTGCCCTGGGGTGAAGGGCAGAGCAAGGGGACCACCAGCAGCTCGTGGGAGAGGATGGGAAACAAGAGGAATCTGGAGAGCTGGAAACTGTTTCCTGTCAGCATTCAAGGTCGGGTTATAGTCACAAGACAGCCCCTCTGGGATCAGGGACCAGGGAGAGGTGTATTTGCCATGGGATTCTCAGGGGGGGAAGGAAGATACAGCATGGAAGGAGCTGAAGGAATCTGCAGGGTGACATCTGGTGCAGGACCCTACCTTCAGCAAGGGCTGGGGGGATTCATGAATGGAAACAATGTGGGTGATCTTGTTCCTGCTTAGCTGCTCCAGGTCTTTGGCATCTAAAGGATAAAACTAGACATCAACATGTATTCATTTCCTACCCTTCTCTTCCCACAGTGCTCCCACCCTACTTCTACAGCCAGCCAGCACACAGAGCCTTGCTCCAGCAGATCAACTGCATTCCACCCCCACATGCAGCAGTGCAGGCATGGGCAAACATGGAAGCCTGGAATGCCAATCCCATGATCCCAAAGCAGAAGCCTCTCCCTGATCCTCCTCCTTGCTGCTCATGCTGGTTGAACCATTCACACCTGCACAGAAACACTCTGGGTCAGCAGGTAGTGTCCCTCCTGCCTGTACTTGTCCCCACTTTGGGAGGAGACGTGCCCTGCCCACACCTCCTTGATCAGACACACACACAGCACTGGGACTTGCTGCAGCCTGAGAGAACTGCTTTATCTTGTGAACTATGGAAGTGGAGCTGCAGCAATTTATATCATCTCTGATTTTCTGCAGAAGCACCTGAGCAGTGATTTGCTGCTCTCTCTGGTCTGTTCTCTCTGCAGCTGCATGGACAGAAATGGGGTGTCCTTGGCTGTTTGGGGCAGTGCCCTGCCTCTCACCAATGCTTCAGCATTCTGGATGTGATCCTGGCCTCTAGTCCAGCACAGCAGTTGTTGCACAGGGAGGGGAGCGTGCTTGTCTTGCTGAGCAGCTTCCAAGTGTCTCCCTTTCATGCCACAACCAGCAGATGCAGCAAGCGCAGCCAGAGAGGAGGGGAAACATTTCCCCATCTCATTCTTCTGGGTTTCTAAACTTTCACGTGCTGTAAAACCTTGGCTCAGAGATCCAGCCCAGGAAGTGCTAACGGCATGATGTGAATTTTAATAGGAGTGAGTCTCAAGGGAGATGCTCTGCAGGGAAGCTGCTCTGTGTGGGGAGGGAGATGGGGACTCACACACCTGCCACCTTCCCATCCACCTCAGCAGGCAGTGACAGCAACTGGTGACACTGGAATCAAGGCTTACCAGGGCTGGAAAAGCTTCCACTTGGAGGAGATGCCTCTGTGAGCTTAATGTTGCAGGCCTAGAATCTTGTCACCCAGGATTGCTTGGCAGAGTGATGAGGAGTGCTTGGATGCCATCAGGCCTGGGCCCCAGAGCAGAGGCTGCTCACAGGAACCCCCCTGATGGCAGCTGGGTGTCCTTGTCCCTCTGCTCCCAGCAAGCCACAGCCCCCCCAGCCCAACCCAAAGTGCTCCAAGGAGCAAAGGGAGAACAGGGCTGCCACTCCAGTGACATTTCCTTAGCAATTCACACCACTGGTTTTAAACTTGTGCAGCACTTAGAGCAGGAATCAAGCTGGCAAAGGAGCCATCAGGGAGGCAGGAGCATTATATACATGGTTTGCCATGGCAGATGCCAACACTTGGTCATTAACTGTCCCCTGACAATGAAAATTCCTTAAAATAGTGACTTGGTGTGAGAAGGGGTGACTCTGCCTCTGGGACATTCCCTCCTGAGGGTGGGCAGCCCCCTTTGGCCTCTTCTACAGCTGCAAAACTGGGGAGCAGTACCCTGATGTGCCCCAGTCCTGCTCCCTTGCACCCGTGTGGCACCACCAGCTCCTCTGCTCCTGGCAGGGGATCCATATTTCCTCCTTGGCTCCTCTCCCCCATGAATCCCAAGAGCTCAGGGCAGCTGTTAAATAAGGAAACCGTGCAAAGGCAGGGGTCTCTGCCTTGCCTTTCCCACAGTGTCTTCACTCCCACTACTGCCAACCCAAACTGGGTGACAGAGCAGAGCAGGCCATGGGTGCAGGCAGAGCAGTGGCTGCAGGAAGAGCAGTGGGTGCAGGCAGGATGTCAGGCAGCATTTGCAGGCAGGGAGACACCAGCTCAAGCAAGCCCCACTTCCCAGCTGGAGAACACCTCTGCAGCAGTGGGGTTCCACTCACCAACGAAGTTCCCAAGGTAGAGGCCAGGAAGGATCTGTGGGACACAAGGGGAAGTGGCAGCGTGAGCAGTGACCTTGTGCTGTGGTACCCACTGTGCTGGGACCCACACTGGGATGCACTGACCTTGGCTGGAGGGGCCAAAGTTCTGGTATTGACATGACCATCCAGCCCCAGGGCAGGAACGGTGCTGGGGCAGCTGGACCTGGGCATTCCCAGGGCTGCCACTGCCCTGGCATCCAGGATGTGGGGCTGGATGTAGCCCTGGCACCTTCAACCACCTGGCACTGCACTCTCATCGGTGCTGGGAGACAGACACAGCTTTTTTATTGCTCCTCTTGTTTATCATCAATTAGTCCTCCACTGGGGCTTATAACCTGAGCTCAGCAAGTTGCATACACCTTTGTACAGCCTTGGACTATACCCATGACCTGTGGAAGCCGTGCTGCTCGAGGGATGGGAAAGCAACAGGCACAGAGAAGCTTGTAGGGGATGTAGCTGTCCCCCTCCCAGCCCTGAGCTGTGCTCCCCTCACTCTGCACTGCAGGAAGCCCATTTCTCACAGCTCAGGCACAGATTGCTCTGGACACCATGCTTTCAGCTCATTTCTCCTGGGAAATTCCATTTCTTGTGATGAAAAGATAATTACTTGACAAGGCCTCTGTTAACAGCACTGCAGATGCAGAAGCAGGACACCTTGCAAACCTTGTCAGCCAGAGCTATTTTATATTTCCCTGCACTCCCAGGCTGGGCAGTGAGTTCAATCCTGTATCCAGCCGGTTCTCCGCCAGTTTCTCCCTGCAGCAATATTTGGTGCTCAGGGCAGGTGGAGGTGATTTTCACCAGCACAGCTGGACTCACACTTGTCTCACTGCTCACATTTGGAAACGTTTCTCTCGATTGAACAGCTAAAGAAGGCTTTTTTGTTTGTTTGTTTGTTTTTGTGATTCCTGCGATTTTAGATCAATTTCCTATCGACAGGGTGCCTTTAACTCACAGCTGCGGCACTGAGAGGAGCGGGTGGGAGAGCGCCAGTTAGCAAGGGCAGCTCCCAAGGGCAGGACACTGAACCATGAATAAACAGCATGTGCCTGTCCCCAGCACCCTGCTGACCCTCTCCTCAGAGGAGAAAACGGGGCAGTACATAAATAAAATAGTGCCCATCCCCTCTGCCCCATGATGCCGAGCCCCACGCACAGCCCAGCCCCGCTGAGCAGGGGGTGCAGCACCACCAGGCTGGGGGTCATACAGGGCTCACAGCGTGTGCTTGGTGCTGGTTCCTTGGGATTAAAGGTGTTGGGAAAAGTTCCCCCCTTCCATGAAAGAACTCGCTGTGACCCCCTTCCCTCCACCTCCCCGAGCAGCTGTCAGCTGTCCCAGCGCAGTGTCCCTGCCTGCTTCACCTCCGGTGTTGCTCTGCCGGCAGATAAACAAACAAACAAACAAACGAACAAACAAGGAGCCGAGCCCTGTGCGGGACGCGGTGCCGGCAGGTGAATCGCCGCTTGGCACGGCAGAGGCAGCCGCCAGGTAAGGGTCTCCCACCTCCGGCAGCACCGGACGAGCCGCCCGGGCATGGCCGAGCTGCAGAGCAGCCGCCCCAGCGCTCCCCGTTACCTGGCTCATGCCGTTCCCCATGGCCGACGGCGGGCGCCGGGGGTGGGGACGGGACGCGGGTGTCCTTGTCCCCAATGCTGCCGTCCTCCCCGTCCCCGGGCGCAGCTGCCGTCCCCGCTGCCTGGTCGGGTTTCCGTCATGAAGAGCTTGGCTCCCCCGGGATCGCTGCTGGCTCCCAGCGCGGCCAGGCCGGGCCGGTGGCTGTGCCGGGGCAGAGGGCACCGCGGCCGCCGTCCTCCGCGGCTCCTGCCGAGGCCCTTCCCCGGCTGCTCCGGCGCTGCCGCGCACCGGCTGCTGCCTGGCCGGGAGCAGACAAAGGAGGAGAAACTCCCCCCCTGCGCCGTGGCGTGGGAGCACGGGGCCGCGCTGGCTGCTGCCTGTCGCCGCTGCCCGCGGCCGCACAAGGCTGCACTGTTGGGAGAAGAACAAAACCTTTGTCCTGCTTCATCAAGGAAGGTCTGTGCGGCCACGCGGCGAAGCGCCCGGCAGGATGCCCACCCCTGCCCACGCCATGCCCACCCCTGCATGCACCATACCTATCCCTGCCCTGCCCGCAGCGCGTCCACCCCTGCTCGCACTGCGCCCACCCCTGCCTGCACCACACCCCTCCCTGCCTTGCCCTGCCCGTGCCCACCTGCAGCCAGGTGCCGCAGGATCCCTGCCCTGCCCGGGGAGCTGCAGGAATGTCCTGGGGACTTCGCAGGGCCGCAGGATGGGCAGTGCCAGCGAGGAGCAGGGCTGAGGGGTTCCCCAGCAGCGCCTATGGCCGGCGGCCCGCAGGGAGGGTCAGCCCGGGGGTCGCGGGGCCGGGACAGGCCGGGGATCAGGCCGGGGCCGCGGTGGCCGTGTCGGGGTGCGGGTGCCCAGAGCGCCCCCTGGCGCGCGGCCGCGCCGTTGCCATGGGGACGGGCGCGGGCTCCGGCGCCCTCAGAGGCCCGGCCGGGGGCCGGGGGTCGCGGCCCGGCTCGGAGCGGGGCCCCGAGCGTTCCCGGTGGGCTCCTGGTTCTGTATCCCAACTCCTGCACGTCCCCGGGGCAGCATGTTAAGCCCCATACGCTCTGTGTGCAGGCGAGGGCAAGGATAGCTTCCCACCGTGTATGGGGAGTATGGCTGGTATCTATGGGCAAGTTTGGATGCTACAGGCATAATAGAATTAATTAGGTTGGAAAAGACTTCTGAGATCATGGAGTCCAACCTAGGACTGAACACCACCTTGTCAACCAGACCAGGACACTGGGTGCTATTCCTAATCTTTCCTTAAACACCTCCAGATATTTTAAGTCTTTCCTTAAACATCTCCAGGGATGGTGATTCCAGCATCTCCTGGGTAGCCCATTCCAATGTACAAACACCGACAGCCCTGTCCCCTCCTGGGCACCGTCTCCTGCAGCACAGTGGCTGAGCAGGATGCGATCCCACCAAGGAGCCTTAGCCCTCACCAGATGTGGATTTGAGCAGCCTGCTCTAGTGGAAGGTGTGCCTGCCCATGGAAAAGGGATGGAATGGGATGAGCTTTTAAGGACCTTCCCAACACAAACCAGTCTGTGACTCTATGGAGGGAGGTTGAGGGTGGTTTGTAACACTGGGTTGACCAGCAGTGGTTCAGGAGTGCTGTGGCTGAGCTACTGCAGGGTCACTGTGGGCAGCTGCCTGCCCTGGAAGGGGGATGCTGGCTGTGCAGGAAAGCTACAGCAGAAATGGTGGAACATGGACTGTAAGACTTGCTCTGTCCTAGCCCCCAATGTTCATGCAGAGAGACAGAAAATTGAAATTGATCCTCTTCCATCAGCTATCAGTGGTATCCACATTTATTTATTTTTCCTCTCAGAATATGTGATGCAGTTGATCCCCAGAAGCTTCTCAAGGGCAATTAAAGCAAGTCATACTGTGGGAGCATTTGTTATGCTAAATCTTGTATTTTTCTTTCTACCCAGCTGAGTCAGAACAGCTGCTTAGCAAAGGATCTGAAGAGCTTTCAGAAGCAGAAAGGGAAGCAGGAAAGCCTGAAGCAAGAAAACGTGCCTTTATTCTGAAGACCCTCAAAATGCCTTCAGAGTACTATTTGTTTGTGGAAGAATTTTGCAAGAACCCTGGCATCACTTGGGTTATGAAACTGGTAAGTGTGTGCTCTCCCAAGGAAAGTGAGAGATGAATGGGTGCCTTCGTTCTTCAGAGGGAGAGGAAAATATGCAGGAAACCCTCAGGAAGAATTGGGCAGAGAAAGGTAACATGGAGCAGTGCTCCTGGCCAGGTTTCTGATCAACATGTACCACCAAAACACTGCTTCTTGTGTAAGAGTTTATTTCAGCAGCCAAAAGTCAGCTCAGTTTATTTATAGAACCAAAGTTAACTCAGTGGTGAAGGTATAAAGTGCAGAGCTCTGTGTGGAGGAACAGACTGCTCCCAGGGGTTCTGGCTGAGTTCATGCTCTGAAATCTTTCAGTTCAGCTGCAGGTGTGCAAGAAGGTGGAGGTGTGTGCAGGACAGGTGGCCATTTGGGCTTCTGGTTAACAAGCATTAGGGCAGCCCCCAAAGATGGAGCTGTGAAAACATCTGTTTGGATTCAGAGAAATCCCACTGTGTTAGATGTCAAGTCTGGTGTAAACTTACTGGGTGGAATTCCATCCTGAGACTGTGAAGAGATTACAGGAGGCTCCATTATCACAGAAGCCCAGAATGGTTTGGTTTGGGATGGAGGGGATCTTAAAGTTCATCTCATTCTACCCCATTGCCATGGGCAGAGACAATTTCCACTAGACCAGGTTGCTGAAAGCCCAGCCCAATCTGGCCTTGAACACTTCCAGGAAGGAATATCCATTACCAGTCTGGGGTGGATTTGGTTGGCATGAACTTCTCTCTGTCCTGCAGGTAGAGAAGGGCAGCCTTATGCTCTGAGCCATGTTTGTCCCCCCAAACCTGGAGCTGTGCTGAACACTGCAGCTTCCACTTCAGCCAGTGATCTGGGGATTGAGGAAAAATTGTGTTTCCCTTAGAAATTCTGACAATATAACGTGACACTGAGAAATGCCTTGCCTGTGCCAGAGGATTCAAGCCATTTAACATCCTAAGTGTTGTGTGGAGCATAATTAAAAACACACCCCTGCGAGTGAGCAGTCCCTCTGTTTTGTGCAGCAGGTCTGGTGAGGAGGCTGGGACAGGAGGATTTGTCTTACCCTTGTGAGAAGTGACTGGGAGGTAATTATGCAAACTAACTCGTGAATTACAACCAGGAGGATAGCAGCTAGTGATTATCTAACTCTACAAATGGGAAGTGTTAATTGGCAACAAAACCCTTATATTAAGCTGATTTTCTGCCCCACAACCTCAATTAACATGGTAAATAACCAGAACACAGTAAATAAGGATATGTGAAAAGCCTGTGATTACTGAAATTATACCAACAACTTAAATAGATTGTGGCTGACCTCAAAACTTGCAGGCAAGTAAAAATAAACTCCATGTTGCTCCTTCTGTTGTTCTGTGCTCTGGAGCAGCCCCCTGTTGTGACGTCCTGGGTTGCCCATTCCCCCACTCAAGAGGCAGCAGTGGGTCAGGATGGGCCCAGTGCCACATCCTGGGGCTGGAGGGAGCTGGACCTGGGCAGCAATGTGGGAGCTGTGCTCCTTGGGGGCCTTATCTGGGCCCCTCCTCACCCTCTTCTATGCAATGTGCAGCTAGGCTGTCTTCAGGGTTTTTCTGCTCATTTGCCATAGTTCCCCAACACCTTTTTTGTCTTTCCTGTTTAATTAAGTTCTTCTGTAACATACACAAATTTAAAATGGGACTTAAAATTCCCAACAACATATGTTGCGTTACGTGTATTTCTGGAAGCGTGTGACAGAGTTTGTTTATTTGGTGCTGTGGGAGTTCCCCATAGGCTGCCTGCTCTGCCTTTCCTCCAGGAATCTTCCAAGCACAAACATGAGGGGGTTTTTGTTGAATCTCCCTGCCCCCATAACCTTAAATAAACATGCTTGCACACGAGCAGCTGATGAATCAGGTTATGCAGGTCTTCTGCAGTGAAGTTCTGGAAAACTGCAGGAAATGCTAACGTTAAAGCCACTAAGTCTGCTCTCCCATCTGTAGGTTGGCAAGTCACAAGGTGGAGGAATGTTCCTGAAAACTGAAATGTATAATTGATTGAAGAAGGTGAGAATGACTGTCTTTTCTTTGGGAATATCCAACAGGCATCTTGTTCTTTTTTCATGCTCTCCTTCTGCCAGTGCTTGGTCTGTTCTCCCATGCTGCCCTCCTGCCATGTTCCTTCACCATTCTCCAGGCTAACAATAAAGGTATTTACAATGGATTTTCCCAAATAGATGGATACTTCTTTTGGGATGTGATTTCTTACACTTTGTGCACATATTTATATATTAACTTCCAATCTCAGGTACATCTAACACTAGGCAGCAACTGGATTTTATTATGATAGATAGATAGATAGATAGATAGATAGATAGATAGATAGATAGATAGATAGATAGATAGAATGTACACATATTTTATAATATATTTATACTATACATTCTTTGGGTGATTCTGCACAGGGCCAGGAGTTGAACTTAGATCCTTGTAGGTCCCTTTCAACTCAGGATTTTCTAAGATTCCAGCAGGGTAAGAAAAGGAGTGTGCAGTTCTACTGCTTGGCATTAGATGCATCAGATGAACCTTGTCACTTCCAACTCCTGCAATCACTTGCAGGACTCGTCCAGCCCGTCACTGCTGCAGTCACCCTGTCTCTCTCCAGTCCTTTTTCACTGGAAAACTGGTGTCATCAGATCACTGGAAATGTCAGTTTGACAAATCAGCTCAGAACAAAGCTGAAATGTCACTCCTGGTTTTACTGTTAGTGGTTGAATTTTGGCAACCTTTCTTCTTCCTTGGGTTCCCAGAATGTAAGGACAGGGTGATTCACAGGAGAGAACTATTTGATTTTCAGTGTGTCACATTTGCTGCTGTATTGAGTTTGATAGCTTTCATTTGATTAACACATCTTCCCAAAAGTTATGCCACCTCAATTTGATGGTTTAGGAGACAGAAAAATCCATCAGTTCTCTCTGTGAAAGTTCAGCAGAGTTCACACTCACTCTAAATGATCAAAAGCCTTTCCAGAGTACCAGGTGCAGAGTA